GGGGTAAGCTACCACTTTTCGGGATCACATATAAACGTTTATATGATTGTGTATTTGCTTGGTATTTAAATGAAAGATGGGAGGGGAGGGAGTGGTTGTGGCGGCACCATTGTATGCCCTTAGATGCCGGGCAACCAACCAAGCAAAGGAAATGGAAAATGTTAAAAACTTGTCTCTCTGTCTTGTATTGACTGGCAGGCAGGTTGGTTAAGGCAGCCAACAGGCTGGCTATCCAACTGACTGCCTGTTGCTTCATTCCGTTGAAGATGATGGTGATGATGATACATTAAAGGAAATTATGTTTTCTTTTGCTTTTCGTTGGATGGCTATGGGTTTTCCAACATTGAAGACCAACCGCATTATTGTTATGGCTTTTGTTATTGCCCGTTTATGGCTCGACTCTTAAAGGGTCTTAAACAGATGGCGGGAAAAAAATGGAACACAAAAGAAAACTGTCCCCGCTTGACATAAGAACTGTGGAGAATGTGTGGGCAGAAGAAGAAGGAGAAACAGAAGTCTATTTAAAGATAGAAATCATTAGAAAGACGTTTCAAATTAAAGGCAAGGGTGAATTCCGTTGTCTCTCTCCCTCTCTCTCTCTCGCTCTCTGCCTTTAAGGTTCCAAAGTCTTTAAGAAACATAAATAAATCAAAGAAACTTCCAATGTGCTGGAAATAGATTACCATTGATTTACTTTCGGTTAATTAATCGAATTTTCTTATCTCCTCACTTCACTTTACTACGCTCCGTGCCAGGTGAACAGCTTTGAGGCTATGCGTCTTGGCCAAGAAAAATCGTTGATAAAGATATTATTTTGAGTTGCTTAAATTAATTTCAAGTACTTTTCCATTTGATGGATGAATCAAAGGAATGTTGAGGTATTTTTACTTATTTTTATTTCTATTTTTTTGATAATCATTTATGATTTGACTTGTCTCTTTGGCAAACTATTTCGTATTTGAACAATAACGGCAATTGTTATAATTTTGTGTCTGAACGTCGCAACGATTTGTCTCAATTTGTTTTTATTTTTTTAAGGGGAGGCTTTGATTAATTTGAAAAATTGCCAAATAAAATTAATACGTCATTTGTTATTGAATCAAAATTAATATTTCTATTAATTCATATATTTTTGAATGATATTAGTTTTGGAACGCTTGGAGACAATTATGTCAGATTTGCAAACAACCTTAACACAATTTAAAATTTCTACTGTAGATTCGAAATTAAACGATTTCGATTTCACATAGATAAAAAATTATACAAATCGCAATAAGTTTTCCAAACTTTGAACATGAATAGTTACACAGAATTAGTTCAAAGGTTTCCGGGCCGTGTTATCTTTCGAAAAGGTGATCAACGGTTAACCTCCGAGATTTTGTGATTAACCCCATGGAAATTCTTCTTTTGGAGTCACGTGAAATATAAGGCCTTCGCCAATAGCCCATTATTTAATTGAGACCTCAGAGGTGAAATTCGTGAGGCTTTTGAGTACATTGAACTGCTATTTTGAGATTTGCAAAATCATATGGTCCAGTAAGCGCCCTCGTGGTGGCTATGTGGCTCATATTGTTTTTTATGGCATACTTTTCTCCTTGTTTTGAAATAATCAATCTGATGACTTATTGAAAAACTAGCTTTAGAGTTTTAATGCCAATTATATCTTCCCCCACGCTAAAGGGAAAATTCAGCAGATTAATTGTTTGTCATACAGTTCTACCATAGGTCCTAGAAGACGCCGGAAATAAATATTAAAAACACATTTTAGGATTAAAGCCGTACTTTGTGTGAGCTTGTGCAAAAATCTCCATCGAAGCATCATTCTAGAAGGACGACCTTATAGATGAAAATATTCTTCATCACATTTTCATTCATCATCGAAGCAAAGAAACCAATACTTTCACGGAATATCAAAAAGAAAAAAATATTTGCATAAATGTTTCTAAAATATTTACTAATTTTTTGACCAGTTTTTACTCGGACTTTTTTCAAAACTTTGACCCTTTGTGGGGGAGGTACCAGAAAAAATGGTCCGATCTTTATACCAGATCTTGTGTTGATGAAAATATTCAGATGTACTAAATCTGAAAGGAATCGTATGTTAATTTCGCGTTTCTTTTGAGCTTCATGGATATTCAAAATTTTGAACCTTTGTGGGGAAGGTACCAGAAGGAGTGATCCGATATATCCCATCTTCACACCAGATTTTGTGTTAGTAGAAGTAATGGGATGTGTGAAATTTGAAAAGAACTGGATGCTTATTTCAGATTTTATGATCGTTTTGGTTATTTAAAGTTTTGACCCTTTGTGGGGAGGTACCAAAAGGTTCCATCTCTACCTTTTTTAATAACAGATCTTGTGTTGATACAAATATTGAGATGTACCAAGTCTGAATGGAATCGGATGTTAATTTCGCGTTTTATGAGCTTCATTGATATTCTAAATTTTGACCCTTTGTGGGGGAGGTACCAGAAGGAGGTGACCGATATATCCCATCTTCACAGCAGATCTTGTGTCAGTAGAAAAAAATGGGATGTGTGAAATATTATTTCGGATTTTATGATCGTTTTGGTTATTTTAAATTTTGACCCTTTGTGGGGGAGGTACCAGAAAAAATGGTCCGATCTCTACCATCTTTATACCAGATCTTGTGTTGATGGAAATATTGAGATGTACCAAGTCTGACTGGAATCTGATGTTAATTTCACGTTTTATGGACTTCATGGATATTCAAAATTTTGACCCTTTGTGGGGGAGGTACCAGAAGGAGTAGACCGATATATTCCATCTTTACACCAGACCTTGGACTAATAAAAATATTGTGCTGTGTGTAGTTTGGATATAATCGGATCATTATTTCACATGTTATAAGGGGGGAAATTTTTAAAAATTGTTGACCCTTTGTGGGGGTGGTACTTGATGTAGTTGATTGATATTGTCCATTTTCGCACCTGACCTAGCATTGATGCAAATATTAGGATTTGCAAAGTTGGGACAAAATCTGATTATCTTTTCTCGTTCTGTGCAGTTAATTATTTTCTTTGAAAATTTTGACATTTTGTGGGGGAGGTATCAGAAGGAGTCGACCGACATTGCCCATCTCCGAACTCGATCTATGTTTGACAATAATATTACGATGTACCAAGTTTGAATTAAATCGGATACTCCCTTCGAGAGTTATCGTGCACACAGGTCAGACAGACAGACGGATGGACATCGCTAGATCGACTCCAAATGTCGTAAAACGGATTTGGTCCAAAGTGACCTAGGATCTAAAACCGTTATTTCGATGAGACACGTTTTGGTCGTATCAAATGATATATACCCTCTATAGCCATATGACTGTGGGTATAAAAATTTCGATCAGTTTTATGGACTTTTTCCCCATTCGCTGCAAATTTTCTTATAATTTCACTGTAGACTGTCTAGGTTGTGGAAAATTCCAAGTTGACTTCGCATCATTCGTTTTCCGATCAAAGGGAGTTCTTACGCCAAATGTTGTTAAGGTCCTTATACTGTTTTGACTATATGCAAAGGGTCCCATATAGTTTGAGACATACAGGGTGAGATGAAAAAACTCCAACCAACTTCAGACTGCTGTAATTCTAATCTAATCTAAGCCACTCGTCCGACAGCTGTTAAAATCATTCCAGTGACAGCTCATTATATTTTTTACAATCCTACAAAAGCATTTTGGTGAGAATTTTCCAGAAAAAAAGTTATTCGTGATGGAATTGAAGCGTGATAGTGTGATTTCTTTAAATTTGGCTGGAAAGCCACAAATGGCTATCGTTAGAGCACTCCAGCATTTAAATTTTTGTGTCTCGTACCATCGCTCGTTACCGTGATACTGGTAGCGTTGCCCGACGTCAAGAAAGTGGACGGAAGAAAACAGCAACATCGGCAGAAATGGTTTGAAAAGTAAAGAAGCGACTTGATCGAAACTCGCGTCGCTGTGGTCGAAAAATGGCTCGTGAGCTCAATATATCGCAATATTCCATTCGGCAAATATTGAAAAAATGAGCCGGTGAATAATGTTACTATAAATATAAAAATACCGAATATAGGGAGGTAGTGCTATATGAGAACTACACGAAGACCTGGACATACATAGGCAATTTTCTGTCACAGGTTCGGGAAATATTCAAAAATGAGCCAGTGAATAATGTTACCATAAATATAAAAACACAGAATATAGGGAGGTAGTGCTATATGAGAACTATACGAAGACCTGGACATACATAGGCAATTTTCTGTCACAGGTTGTAGTACCAATTAGGATCTTCAAATACGAAATTTAAAAAAAAATCCGCAGATAATGTCATTCCAATCATCAAAATATCAAATATAAGGAGATGCCGTCATATGGGGTCTATACCAAACCGTGGACCTATACAGCCCATTTTCAATACCAAAAGTCCTGTGGACCTAACTCATATTTGAGTATTTTATGAACCTACTTCATTTCGTTCGGAAGCTAGAGTGGTTTCCACAGACGGACGGACATCGCTAAATAGACATAGAATTTTATGCTGATCAAGAATACATGTATATTTCGTCGGGTCTACAATTTCGTGATGTTACAAACGGAAAGACGGAATGGGGAGGGTATAAAAATTCGGAACTGAAAATTGTCCTACATTGAAATTTGTAAGCAGTTTGTTTTTAAAATTTTCCACCAAATGTGTAAAAATCGTATCGAAATCTAAATTTCCCTTTTTTTCTGTGAAATTCGCACCTTTGGCCTGTTGACACCCCATATCTAGCTAACAGGCTTCTAAAACAAATAAACAAACAAACGTGTGAAAATGTTAATCACTGTCCCACTCTACGAATTTTCATTTGCCTCCAAACCAGATAGGACTACTTTGGCAATAATAAACAACAATAACAACAATTCGAAACAAATAACACATCAAATTAACATTGTAATACACGTATGTACATCTGTATGTAAATGCGGTTGAATGTGTCCAATGATAATGCCATGCAACACTCACCTGTGATATTGCTGATGTTTTGATTATTATCTAGGCTATGGCTTGCGGTCTGTTGACAGCGATAACTGCCAGCAAAATAAATGGCCATTGCTCCAATGGCAGCGCCCAAAACAGTCAAGGCCACAGCCAAAACCAAAAGTCGACACCTCAGCGATGACTCCTTCAGCAGCAGATCGCTTTGCGGTGAATGTTGTGACGGCTGGGTGGTGGTGGCGGCGGCTGTGGCGACATACGACATGGGAACATTGCACTGCAGTGCGGTTCGACTGCCACTGTCAGTGCCGAGAAAGACGACGGTCGGATGTTTGATGTGACCCACATTATTGGCACATTGCGGCTGTGTAGATGAATGGTGATGATGCATGATTGCATCGCTTCCGCACAAATCTGAATTAGTTTCAACACCGGCCAGGAGTGGTGATACGACTGAGGCATTCGTATTTTCGTCCTTTTGTGGAATAAGGGAATGTAGCGCTGTATTGGTGGTGTCATCGGCCATTGGACGTGGCACATCATCGTCCACATCGATGGCGGCGGTAATGCGATTGCCAGGACCACTACCACCATGGCCATTGTTTTTCATGACGTACGGTGTTCGGAGATAACCATTGTTTATGAGTTTATTGTTTTCCGTTGGCATCGCTGGGCCAATTCGTTTTGCTGGGAGGTGGGTGGTTGATGGTTGGGTGATGGGCTTTTGAATTCAATTGGATTGAAGTTCGTTTGGTTTTGGTTTTTTCTGCGGTTTTAGTCACTTGGTTTTGTTCCCTTTTCTCTCTGGTATGGGTGCTTCTCGCCCACAGATGTTGTAATTGTTTTAGAGGCTAGATTCCTAGGAATATGATGCTGTCCAGTGACGACTGGCATCAGTAGCTGACATTTTCAGGGGGTCATTTCCATATCGGCATTTTTCAATAATTTTCAATTTTTAGTTTTTTTTTTGTCTTCGCTTTCTCTTTTTTCTCGGGATAAGTTTTTAATTAAAAATTATTTCTTTGCCTTGCACATTAATTAAATTTCAATATTCCTTTTTCAAAATGTTTGCACTTATTTTCACTTCAATTTCAGTTCCACGCTAAAGTTTGTGTCTTTAACACTCATCACTGGACGGGCGCTAGAATGTCTCTATTCATTGGCTAGATTTGAAATTTTTTGTTTGAGTGGTATTCCTGTTGTCTTTTCAATATCTCTGATATTGATATCGTTTACCGTTATTCGCTGTAGTTGGGTGAAATAAAACATGTTATTATTTTTGTTTTTTTTTTTCTTTTGTTTTATCATTTAAATACACCTGTCTGGGTGGCATGTGTACTTGGTGGGGGTGGGCTTTCAAAATTTTTATGTATTTCATAGTAGCCAAGTCATCGGAATATATCAGCGAACAAAGTTCAATTTTGAAATCATGTGAAAGAAAGAAATTTTGTCATACCAGGATTACCCGGAAGGCAGGGTAATTGAACATTATTAGCTTGTGATATTATATCAGATCTTTATATGACAATTTAATAGCAACTATGTCATCATCATTTGAAAATAGTGTTTGAAACAGTGAAAATACTATAAATCAGGGAGGGAGGGGGGTGAGTGGTGCGGACGTCGTTATCTTGCCCTGCGATACAAATTCTCGACACATAATTTTGGACATTTTAATAAAATGTTTGGATAGGTGCATCAGTTTTGAGTTGCAAGTCACAACAACAGTGATGTAGTCGTTTCATAATCTAGGTAGCTCTCTTCTGAAGATCTGAATTACACTGCACGACAAAATTCAAATTTTTGCAATAATTAGAGGAAAAGTCTAGCAGATTATGAAAGTAAAGCTAACATTGAAAAAAACATTAAGTTTGGCCTGGCCGAACTTTTAATACCCTCCAACTTTGGATAAAGAAAACCTCTTGTATAGAAAAGTATCTGAATTCTAACTGGCTACTATACATCTACTATTTTGATAGACCAAATCCGCTTCAGGACATTTGGAGTCGATATAGCGATGTCCGTCCGTCTGTCTGGTTGGCTGGTGTGCACGGTAACACTAAAAGCGAGGAAAAGTCTAGCAGGGTTTGAAAGTAGAGCTAACATGTAAAAAAACCAATAAGTTCGACCGGGCTGAACTTTTAATACCCTCCAACTTTGGGTAAAGAATAAATTTTTATAGAAAAGTATTTGAATTCAAACGTGTTCTACTGTAAACTACAAATACCAGTAAGACCGTTGCTAAATGTTGCTAAATTTCTCAAAAAATCGTAAAGTGTGTGAGGCCGTTTTATGGGGCCATACCAAAATGGGAACCTCCATAGACAATTTTATATTTCAAGGATTGTCATCTACCAAATCTTCTAAAATACCAAATTTGAAACAATTTCGTAGATAAATAAGACTAGGATTATCAAAATGCCGAATATCGGTGGGTATCTTTATATGTGCGCTATAGGAAAGCTATAGCAAAACGTGGATTTATATGTATGTATACTATGTTCCGCCACCGGAGCTAGAACCCATTATGAACTACAAATACTAATTTTTGTACAAATCCATAAAAAATGTGGAAAAAATCATCAAAATACTGAATATCGAAAAGTATCGGTATATGGGGGGCTATACGAAAACGTGGACCGATACATACTATGTTCCGCCACCGGAGCTAGAACCTATTATGAACTACAAATACCAATTTTTGAACAAATTCGTGGGAAAATGTGGCAAAAATCAACAAAATACTGAATATCGGGAAGTATCGTTATATGGGGGCTATACAAAACCGTAGACCAATACATGCTATGTTCCGCCACCTATACAAATACCAAATTTTGGACAAATCCGTGGAAAACTGTGGCAAAAAAAAAATCAAAATATCGTGAAGTACCGTTATATGGGGCTATACAAAAACGTCGACCTATACATGCAGTGTTCCGCCACCGGAGCTCGAACCCAATATGACCAACAAATACCAATTTTTTGGGAAATCCGTGGAAAAATGTCGCAAAAAGCATCAAAATACGGAGTAACTGGAGGTACCGCTGTATGGAAGCTATTCCAAAACGTTAACCTATACCGCCAACGCCACGAGAGCTAAGCCTCATTGTGACCTACAAATACAAATTTTAGACAAATCGGTGAAAAAATGTGGCGAAAATCATCAAAATACCGAATATCGGGAGGTACCGGCCATATCAAAACGTGAACCGATATATCTCATTTTATATACTTAAAATTTTATGCTTATTATGAATATATATACTTTACGATGAATATTTAGAAATGTTACAAACGGAATGACAAAGTTAACATACTCTCCTTTTCTAGGTGGAGGTGGGTATAAAAATAGAAACCAGGTGTGTCGGCGTTTTGAAGTCATCATCTCAAAGTAAAATAAAGAGAGATGAGAAGTACCCATTCATTTGATTCGGCCAAAACGTTCCTCATCGAAATAACGATTTAAGACCCTAGGTCTTTTTGGTCCAAATCCGTTTCTGGACATTTGGAGTTATTCTAGCGATATCCGTCTGTCCGTCAGGCTGGCTGGTGCGCACTCTGGAAGAGAGTATCCGATTTGGTCTGAACTTGGTACATCAGAATATTATGATCAAACTTACATCGGAGATGGGCAATATTGGTCCACTCCTTCTGGTACCTCCCCCACAAAAGGTGAAAATTTTTAGAGAAAATAATTTTCCATACACAACAAGAACGGATCATTCAATTTTGTTCAAATTTTGTTAATCCCAATATTTGTATCAATGCTATGTCTGCTGCGAAAATGGAAAATATCGACCCACGTCATCATGCACCAGCACCACAAAGGGTCAAACTTTTCAAAATTTCACATATACCCATATTTTTACTAACTCAAGACCTGGTGTGAAGAAGATCAGACCACTCATCATCAACAAAGGGATCAAATTTTTGTCTAATAATAATATCTCTTATAATTTGCGAAATATCTATCCGATTCTCTTAAAATTTTACACATCCCAATATTTCCATCAACACAAGATCTGAAAAGATGGTAGAGATCGGACCATTTCTTCTGGTACCTCCCCCACAAAGGGTCACATTTTTGAATAACCAAAACGATTATAAAATGCGAAATAAGCAACCGTTCTCTTCATATTTCACGCATCCCATTATTGCTACTAACACAAGATTCAAATTACCCACATCACAATATTTGTTGTTAACCCAAGGTCTGGTGTGAAGATGGAATATATCGATCCACTCCTTCTGGTACCTCTCCCACAAAGGGTCAAAATTGTGAGTACCAATGAAGCTTATAAAACGCGAAATTAACATCCGATTAAATTTAGACTTGGCTCATCTCAATATGTCAATCAATACAAGATCTGTTATAAAGACGGTAGAGATTGAATAATTCCTTCTGGTACCTCTCCCACAGAGGGTCACATTTTTGAATAACCGAAATGATTATAAAATCCAAAATAATCATCCGACTCTCTTCATATTTCATACATCCCAATATTTCTATTGCCACAAGATATGCTGTGAAGATGGGATATATGGTCCACTCCTTCTGGTACATCCCCCACAAAGCGTCAACATTTTGAGTATACGTGAAGCTCATAAAACGCGAAATTAACATCCAATAAATATTTTTATCAACACAAGTTCTACTAAAAAGATGGTAAAGATCCGACCACTTCTTCTGATTCCTCCCCAAAATAGGAAGAGCGATTCTTTACAAGTGCTATATAAAGACAAGGAATTGGCCCATATACTCTACACATGGCACGTCGCATTATTTATACTATATTTATTTAGGTCTGATACGAAATGAACAATATTGGCCCATTCATTCGGAACCTACTATAAAGAGGGTCAAACATTTTAATAATCATAACGAAAGTCAAAATATATTTAAATAATCGAACATTGACTGAGGGTATACATCTGTCGTCAAAACCGAGTGATACTTTTTAACTTGTTTTAAAAATATTTTAGCAAAGAACCTAAAATACCATTTTTGTGTCCCGGTTGAGGGTTAAAAATTAAGACCAAAATAAATCTCCCATTGTTATGTGCCGTCAGGTTTGTCATTATTGCCAAGAAATGTGTTTAGCAAATTGTGTCCTCCGTTGCTTTTGAGAAATAGTTATAGCTGCTTAAATGTGTGAAAACAAATCTCTACTTAGATGATATTTTTAACTCTTTAATTACTTTCATCTATTATCATTATGTTTAGCATGAAAACCATTAAAACTTTGTAAAATTTTAATATTTTTATGTCGGACTCGAGAAAAAAACAATTTTAATAATGACATGGTCAACATGTTTTACATTTGTGTGTTTGTCTATTAATAGCTTGTGTCTCATCTATATGTGTGTGTGTGGTATGTGTGTTCCATGTTCTCAATGTTCTCTCTCTCTCTGTCTGTTTGTTGGTCACTTCGCATAAATATTTCATAACTAAACTAACACGATTATTTCAGTTAAGTATTTTGAACTGTATTCGGTATTGCAAGTTTGTATTCAAATAAACCTTTTCTTTTGTCATTTTGTTAAAGTGGCTTCTTCATATCTCTCCCCTCCTAACAACAACAAGAAATTCCATAATGGCCCACCTGCCTGCCTATCTGCCAACTACCTCCCAACCATTGTTTAATGTAATTGCATACCGTCCTGGCCACTTGTCGGTTGGGATGTTCTGTCGTATAGATCTAAATGTTTTCCTAGAAATACCATTAAAAAGTGCAATAATAACGTTGTGTCATTGTGTGGACTTATGTAAGTATGTGTGTATGTACGAATGTTGGTGCTGTCTGTTGCTGCTGGTGGTGCAACAGTTATTAATACTTATCGTTAGAGGAGAAAGGTTAACAAAACAGAAAAAAAAACGAAACACACAACAAAAGGAATAATGACAAATTCATTATTTTTTAATTGAATGTTGCTCCAGCAATTTATGCCAGGAAGAGGAGCAGGCCATTTAAGGTTATGCAGTGGATATCGGGTATTAGAGAAGTTTTAAATGTAGAAAATATTATGAAAAGGTTTCGAGAGAAAATTTAAAAAAAATAAGTAAAATAGTATCAGTGGGTTTTCCAGCCTTAAGTTATGATTATTCAAACTGTTAACTGTTCCGAAGCAGTTGGCCAATATTGATTCGTATCTGTCCTAAGACTGATATAAATATTACAATGTGACAGACTTGGACTATATCGACTACTTCCTTTGCTTTATATGAGATATGGGCAAAATTTTGG